TGCGGGTATCTCAATTGGTCCATTTTTGAGATCGATAATATATAATTGCATAGCATTAAATCAAATGATAAGGCTTGGAAACAGGCTGATGTTTACACCACACAATCCCCTTCCCCTACCTTATTTAACCCATTATCCTCTCCTAAATGCTTCAATTCCTTCTCTCTCATTTAATCATCAGAGCTCTGAGACGTCCTCCCGACGTGAAAGGCGCTATGCAAGTTTCTTCTTAAAAACATTGATGCTCTCTGTTTAACCAAGTTTCTGGCAATGGGTTTCACATTATCATCATTCTCTGCATGAAGAAGTTCTTCCTAAATTCAACAACAACAACAACAAGATTGCATTTATAGAGCGCCTTTCACGTCGGGAGGACGTCCCAAGGCACTGGAGAGTTGGGTCGGGACCCGAGCAGGGGGGAAATGGTCAGGGGCAGGGAAGGGAGGGAGTGAAGAGGGGGTAGAGAGTCGAGAGGGGAGCTGAAGGCACGGTCAAAGAGAAAGGTCTTGAGACCGGCCTTGAAGTAGGAAAGGGAGGAAGCAAGGCGAAGGCACTGGGGGATGGAGTTCCAGAGCCTCGGGGCTGAGAGGCTGAAAGCCCGACCACCGATGGTAGGGCGGTTAGGGCGGGGGATGTGGAGCAGACCGGAGCCAGAGGAACGGAGGTACGGGCAGGTAAGTAGGGGGATAGTAGGTCGGAGAGGTAGGAGGGAGCGAAGCCATGAATGGCCTTGTAGGTGAGGATGAGGATCTTGAATTCGATCCTCTGGTGGGATGGGGAGCCAGTGGAGGCGAGCGAGGGTGGGAGTGATGTGATCGTGTAGCCTGGTGCGGGACAGTACACGAGCTGCAGAGTTCTGAATGACCTGCAGCTTGTGGAGGGAGGTGCTCGGAAGGCTGACGAGGAGAGAGGTGATAAAGGCGTGGACCAGTGTTTCAGCAGCGTGAGGGGTGAGGTAGTGCCGTAGTCTGGCAATGTTCCGGAGTTGATGGAAGGCGGTGCCAGTTGTGGCGCGGATGTGGGGAAGAAAGGACAGCTCAGGGTCGAACAAAACACTGAGGTTCCTGACTGCTTTGAGAGGTGGAGAGTGCAGCCTTGGATACTGATGCTGTCAGCGCCTGAGGTGCGGAGGCGCTGACGTGAGCCAATCAGGAGGGCCTCAGTTTGGCGCACGTTGAGCTGAAGAAAGTTGTCTCTCGTCCAGGACTCGATGTCAGACAGACTGCTGTCAGGACATCGGTGGTCGTGGAGTTGAGGGTAGAAGAGGAAAGGTAGAGTTGGGTGTCATCCGCATTCGCTATTAGATCTACTACTGTCTTAAATATTTATTTCCAACCACAACCCCACCCCGATTTTGGGCTCTCCAATAAGTGGAAACAGCCTATGAACAACCATTTCATCAAATCCTTATATAATCTTAGACACCTCTATCAGGTCCCTTCTCGATCATCTCACCTTTAAAGAGTTAAATGATGGCTAATAGGATCTTAACTCAGAGTCAAAGCCAGAATGGGAAAAGTTTTACTGGACATAAAAGGTAGGTGATACTAGCTAGACAAAATGAGTGTGATTGTGTGATTTCTTCTTATAAGTTGAAGACTTCTAATACCAAGGGATCTGCTTTCCATCAAGGGCTGCAGGGAACAGATCAGATCATGTTCACAGTAACCTTCTTGCATGAAGTGAGCAAAATGCCTTAGCACCTCACTGGTTGCCATAATTAAAAATGGGTTCAATTTCCACTCATCAACTCTACAATAAAGAGGCTCAGTGTCAACGCCGCAAAAAGCTGATATCAATCTACCTCACCTGAGGACAGCACTTCTGGCAATGCAAAACTCCACCAGTATTGTAATGGAGTGGGATCATAGTCTATGTTGGCACTCCAGTAGAGGATAGAAACAGCATTGCATTGTCGGAGACACCATAATAAATAATAATCCTTGCATTTGATATAGCGCTTTTCATGTCAGGAGGACGTCCCAAAGCGCTTCACAGAACACACTGTAAAGTGAATTGACTGTATATTTGTGGGCGAACGCGGCAGCCAATTGCGCACAGCAATGTCCCACAAACAGTCGTAGATTGAAAATGACCAATTTCTTATTGTTTTTGGTTTTGGAGGGATTATTATTAGGCATGTGGAGTAAGAAAACTTGCCCAAGGTTTCGCCCTGCCTGGAATTGAACTCATCCTCTGGATGAGACGATAAACCAAGATCCAGTTCAGATGGATGTTAAAGGTCCCATGGCACTATTTGAAAGGAGAAGAGAGTTTCCCCTGGTGTCCTGGACAACAATCTCCAGATAAAATTGGTCATTCACTTCATGGTTGTTTGAGGGACACTGTTGTGAACAAATTGGCTGCTTCATTCACCTACAAATACTGAGTAACTACACTTCTGTGTAAAATCCTGTAAAGTGCTTTCAGATGTTTCAACAACATGATAGGTGCTATATCAAAAGTAAAGATTATCATGATTATTGTATATTTATTCTGTGGAGTAGGTTTGACCATTTTTCTATCTGAATTAAGTTTCCACTTTCATTATGAACCTTTTGGCAGTGTTAATAGCGCCTTGGGACGTCCTCCTGACGTGATTTCCAGTACAAAGTCATCAGATTGGGAAAATGTTTCCAGTGGAGTTCCACAAGGGTCTGTTTTGGGACCCCATTTGTTTAAATTTTTTATAAATGATCTGGAACTAGGAGTCGCAAGCACAGTGGCTAAATCTGCAGATGTCACCAAGCTAATGAAGGTGGTAGATTGTGAAGCTGAACAAGATAGGTTATGGGAGGATTTGAACATACTTGGGAATTGGGCAGATCGGTGGCAGATGAAATTCAATGTGGAGAAATGTAAAGTACTTCACATGGGGACTAAAATCCTGGAAAGGACTATTATTTGAACAGAAGGAAAATAATATGTAAATGAAAAGGACCTGGGGGTCCTGATTGACAATAAATTGAAGCTCTCCCAACAATGTTCTGTGGCAGTGAATAAAGTAAACCAAGTACTCGTTTGCTTTACTCACTGCCACAGAACAAACCAGATATTGGGATGTATCAAAAGATCAATAGCAAGCTGTAATAGTGGGGTAATCCTGCCAGTGTGTAAATCATTGGTGATACCATACTTAGTGCAGTTCTGGTCACCACAGTACAAAAAGGATATTTGAGAAATTGAGAAGATACAGAGGAGGGCAACCAAAATGATTGAGGGAATGGAAGGACTGGACTACACAGAGCAACTAAATAAATTGGGCATGTTCAGGCTGGAAAAGAGAAGATTAAGAGGTGACTTGATTGCTCTCTTTAAGATTCTAAAGGGACAAGACAATATAGATCATGACAGGCTGTTTCAACTTGTCCAGAATAGTAAAATCGGATGACACAGCTTGCGATTGAAGAGGGGGAAATTCAGAACGAATCTAACCAAACACTATTTTAGTGAGCAAACAGTGAACCTGTGGAACAGGCTGCCAATGGAGGCGGTTGAAGCAGCAAGTGTTGATTCTTTCAAACACAGATTATACAGTTTTCTTTTAGGAAATAACATCATAGGATATAGTACATAGGTAGTTTGGGACATATGTGTATGCGACTGCCAGGAAGGTGGAAGGCAAACTAGATGGATCTTGGTCTCTTTTCATCCAGCATTTATTATTTTCTTATGTTCTTAAAGTCAGACTGGGATTTTGAAATGTTAAGTAGCACTACTACTGAAGTCCTTTCAAAGGTTAATTATAGGCTAGCAAATATTATGCAAATTGTTTTAAATGATAATTTAATGTGATCTCTGTGACACTGGGATTGGAATCTTGCCTTTCTGTTGTAGCAGTGCTGACGTATCAGTGACAATGTTCCATTGTTTTCTTGGTTTCATTTTCTTATCATCTCATGTCCCCAGTGTCTTACACTCTCCTGCTTTGATCTCATTTTAGATTATGATGTTGATCTCAAATGCACATTCTACTCCAGAAGCAGGAGTGCTACCAATTGAGCCAATGAAACACATTTTACGGGCACATTGCGAGCTGTATCATTACATCTTTATTGTTCTGGTATTTTACACTTCACTTTGCTGTGTTGTTGATAACTTCTTTGTCATCTTTGACTAAACTGAGCTTTCTCTTCATTTATACACGGACCTGTTATTTATAGGTTTAAAATTGCCACAGATTTTACTCAAAAGAATGGATTGAGGTGTCAGCCTGGTTCAGTTGATAAAACTCTCAGGGTTGAGTCAGAAGGTTATGGGTTCAAGCCACAAAATACACAGTCAATTCACTTTACAGCATATCCTGTGAAGCGCATTGAGATGTCTCAAAAAGATGATAAGGCGCTATATCAAATGGAAGGATTATTATTATTTTATATATATATATATATATATATATAAGCCCCAAGTCAAGACTTTGACTCTCAATCTAGGCTGACACTCCAATGTAATGCTGGGAGAACACTACATTATTGGTGGTTTCGTCCTTCAGATGAGCTTAAATCGAGCTCCTGTTTGCCGTTCAGGTGATCGTTAAAGAACCCATGGCACTATTCAAAAAGAGAAGGGATGTTTCTTCCGCCTTCCTATCCAACAATCCCCCAGATAAGCAAATGGTCATTTATTTTTGACATATATTGATGTGAGCAAATTGGCTGCTATTTTGCATACAAATGCACTTTACAGGAAACATTTTGAAACATTTTGATATGACAAGGCACTATGTCAAATGTAAGAATTCTCCTTATTTCTTTTGAGAGAAACCAGCTCTCAACCTGGAACCAGCTAGGTTGAACACAATGATCTTTTCAATCGTGTTTCTAAAATGTTTTGCCATCTCTTGAAATAAGATAATACCTTTCCTTGTTTTTTTACAACAACAACTTGCATTAAATAGAGGAAAGCTTTTAGCGTCTAGGAGCATGGAGATATTTTACTGTGGCCGAGTAAAGAAACAAAGCACTGCACATCAATCCCAAAAGAAACATTTTGTTCCCTACCTTTTCGGTGTCTATTCCTTTGGACATTGACCAAGTGGAAACAATATAATCCATGACACGCTCACTTAAGCCCTTTGGCACTTGGTAAAGCTTCAGGAAGTCTCGGACACTGTTCAGCATCTCGTGGTACCTGTTGGTGTTAGCGTACATTTGCTGGAAGATTGTCGTCACATTACCAAAGATGGTTGCATACAGAAGAGCTGCAAACATGAAAGGAACAGGTCAGCTTTCACACCAAAAAAAAATATTTGTGTTAGTTATAGGACCATCTGTAATACAACAACAACTTGCATTTATATAATGCCCTTCATGTAAGTAGCGTCTCGGAGAGATAGATCCTAGATATATTCAAAGATCCCATGACAGTACTGTATTCAAAAAAAGAATTACGTTTCTCCCAGGTCCTGAGCAACAATCCTCCACCTAAAATTGGACATGACTCTTTGTGAGATCTTGCCATTTATGAAAAGGCTGTTGTGTTTGCCAAGTCACTCTGCTTCACACCAATTATCTGTTAAGGTGTTTGAGAAGTTTCGACTGCTGTGCACATTTGACATATTACAATTCACTTTACAGTGTATTCGGTGCAGTGCTTTGAGACATCTCGAAGACGCGATAAGGCGCTATATCAAATGCAAGGAATATTATTATAAGGACACAGGAGAATATGAAGAGCAGGGGATCATTCAGCCCATCAAGCCGCGTCCAACAGTCTATTTGATTTTGGTAGATCATTTGAATCTCAATGTAACTTCTTTCACCATACCCTTAATACTCTTAGTACTGAAGTAACTGTCCATTTCTCTTTGAAAGATCCCTATTGATTCCACCTCTATAGCATTCTGGGGCCGAGCATTCCACATCGTCACAACCCTCTCTCTGTGTGACAAGCAAATTCAAATAACTTGTATTGTAGGAGAGCATTTCTGAGGTTGGGGCAGATCACCGGCTGCCCCAACCTCAGAGCTATCTAGATTATATTAGGGTTCCAGGATCCGGGATTGCACGATCCTGCCACTGTGCAGGAACCTTTCACCAAGATCTGATATTCCCTTGCCTGATGAATGCAGGATTTTATCAATCTTAAAGAGCTGATCACAGACACAAACATGATCAGGTGGTTTTGTGCACAGGCAGATCAGTAAAGCACTCTCAGTGCATTGACTTTGTATCTATTTTACATTATTCAGTATATGCAAGATAGACTGGACCTTTAATTGATCTGCTGCTACTAAATTATCCCATCACAAGGTAGTAAAATGATGATTCATGCTCCTGGCATAAAATGTTAAGTGGAAACCAATGCGGTATAACATTGGATTGAGTAGATTAGCTAGTCAGCAGTAGAATGTACTGGATAGATCACATACTAGTCCCCTCTGTGTTATTGTTACTGTACATTAATTCAGTCTCCTAACCCTATTGCTTGAGCTCATAATCCAGGCTGACCCTTCAGGTAGAATGAAGCCCTCTGATGGCGTAATGTCAGAGATGAGATGTTAAATCAAGGTTCAATCTGCCTGTTCGGATGGACATTAAAGATCCTGTGAAACAAGTTTCAGGCTGCTAGTTCGATATTGCTGTGTGCAATTTGTCAGCCACATTTGCCTACAAATTACTATACTTTACAGTAAAATCCTGTGAAGTTTTTCACCAATGTAATAAGACGCTTTGTCGAACCTAAGGATTACTATTAAAGTGTTTAGTTATTTTCTTTTATTACCTTCTTAGGGATTCAACTTTTTTTTGCGACTTCTTTTAAGTGATGAAGCTTATTATTTACTTAGCTACCCACACATTATTAATTGTTGTAGTTACAGAATAGAGATGAAGATCAAAAAAATAGGACAGAGATAGAATTCAGAATGAACCATATGATGAACAAAAGCAGTATGAACACAGAAAGGCCCAATATCAAGAAGTTGCAAGACAGCAGCAAAAATGAATTGGTGGAACCTTGGAAACAATGAAGAGAAATAAATAATATTTATACTAATCAATGCATTTAGGGGGGAATTTATGACACTGAAACATCTCAAAGTACTTTGCAGGGAAATGCCGCTGAATGTGCTGATAATTGGTCTGTAAATGGAATTTATCTGGAGAATTGTTGCAGCAGGACACCCAAGAGAAAAATGTCAACTGAACAACTAGACTGGACCTCGGTTTAACATCTTATCCGAAGGTTGGTATCTACAACGATGCGGTGCCTCCCCTGCACTTTACTGTGGAGTCCAGTAGAGTAGTGGTTAGTGTGATTGCCTCCTAAGCAAGAGGACCCTGGTTTGATTCCCGGTCGTGGGGCGGGTGGGGGGGGGTGAAGCCTTGGGCAAGTTTCCTTACTCCACACACCTCTGTTTACCTAGCAGTAAGTAGGAACCCAGTTGTTAGTCGATTGGCAGATTGCATTCTGGGGGTAACAATCCCATCCTTCGTTAAAAAAAATTTAATCATTCACTCCATGGGTGTTTGACACTGGTGTAATTGGCTGCCGCGTTTCACCCACAACATACACAGTCAATCCACTTTGCAATACATTCTGTGAAGCGCTTTGGGGTTGTCTCAATGACATGATAAGGTGCTATATCAAATACTAGCAAATTGTAAACAGGAAAAAAATACAACGTAAAGGCGTCTAAAATGTTCGATGTATAATGGGATTCTTCGGGAAGAAATCCTACATTTTGGATCCCTTTTAGAAGTATTCACTGAAAGGTTCACCAATGTGGTTCACCAATGTGAACCTTGTCTATTCCAGGTTAATCGTGGAAGTGAAAGGCAATCCCAGACTCCTGTTCTCCACTACTAACCGGCTCCTCCGCCCTCCTCAATACGCCTCGCAGATACTTTCCACCGATTCTCACTGCGAGAAAATGCTGGACTTCCTCGAGTCCAAAATCGAAGGAATCTGCTCACCTCCGACTGCCCTCCCAACTTCCAATCCCTCCCTAACCCCACCCCACACAAGTACCCATCCAACAACTGCCCATCACTCCTTCCATACCTTTGAACCTGTCACCCTCTCCTATGTCTTCAACACAGTAAACTCCATGAAGTCCACCACTTACTCCCTCGACCCCATCACCACCCCTCTCTTTAAATCCCAGCTCCTTGCCCCACTACTCGCCGACATCATTAACCTCTCCATGTCATTGTCACTGTTCCTTCACCCTTAAAACAGCCACTATCACCCCTACCTTGAAGAAACCTTCCTTCGACCCATCACAGCTACCTAGCTACCGGCCCATCTCAAATCTCCCCTTCCTATCCAAGGTCCTTGAGAGAGCCGTTGCCTCCCAGCTTCGCTCTTCCCTCTCCTCTCACTCCTTCCATGAACCCCTCCATGCTACCCACAGCAAGGAAACTGCTCTGGTCAAGGTCACATCCTGACCATGTGTGACCAGGGCTCCCTCTGCCTCCTCGTCCTCCTCGACCTCTCTGCCGCCTTTGACAACGTGGACCACTCAATCCTCCTCCACCGCCTCTCCTCCCACCTCAACCTTCAAGGTTCTGTCCTTGACTGGTTCAGGTCCTTCCTTTCACAGCGCCTCCACTTCGTCACAGCAAACGGTTTCTCCTCCAGTCCCCGCACTGTCTTGTGCAGTTTTTCCTCAGGGCTCTGTCCTCAGTCCCCTCCTCTTCACCCTCTACATGCTCCCCCTTGGTGACGTCATCCACAGACGTAGGGTAAATTTCCACATGTATGCGGATGACACCCAACTCTACGTCTCTGCCTCCACCCTGAACTCCAGGACTACTGGCGTTTTGACCGACTGCCTGTCCAACATCAAGTCCTGGATGAGGGACAACTTTCTCCAACTCAACATCAGCAAGACCGAAGCCCTCCTGATTGGCTCGCGCCAACACCTCCGCACCTCAGGCACTGGCAGCATCAGCCTCCACAGCTGCACACTCAACCTCACTAAGCCAGTCAGGAACCTGGGTATCTTGTTTGACCCTGAACTGTCCTTTCTCCCCCACATCCGCACCATGACCAGCACTGCCTACCACCACCTTCCAACATCGCCAGACTCCACCACTGCCTCACCCCTCAGGCTGCCGAAACCCTCACCCACGCATTCGTCACCTCAAGCCTTGATTACAGGAACTCCCTCCTCATCGGCGTTCCCAACTCGCCCCTTCATAAGCTGCAGATCATCCAAAACTCTGCAGCTCGTGTACTATCACACACCAGGCTCCGTGACCTCCACTCCCTCGCCCGACTCCACTGGCTCCCTATCCCCCAGAGGATCAAGTTCAAGATCCTCATCCTCACCTTTAAGGCCATCCATGGCCTTGCCCCCTCCTACCTCTCTGACCTGCTGACTCCCTACCAACCTGCCCGCTCCCTCCGCTCATCAGGCTCCGGCCTGCTCCATGTCTCCCACCCAACCATCGGTGGACGGGCTTTCAGCCTCTCTGCCCCCACATCTGGAACTCCATCCCACGGTCCCTTCGCCTCGCTTCCTCCCTTGCCTCCTTCAAGGCCAGGTTCAAGACCCTTCTCTTCCACTGTGCCTTGGGTCTCCCTCCTACCTCTCTGCCTTCCCTCACCCCTAAACCACCCCTCCCCCATGCTCGGGCCCCGACATCTGACTCTTCAGCGCTTTGGGACGTCCTCCCGACATGAAAGGCGCTCTACAAATGTAATTTTGTTCTTGTTGTTGTTGTGAGTCAGATCATTAAATTCCCGAAGCCTACCTATCCATAAAATTATGCCTCACTTGATATAATTATAAATATCCAACCCATTTTCTCATTATTGTGTTTACAAGATTAAGCATACCTAGCACACACACTTCATGATTCAATAAACAACAGGCACATTTCCGCAGCACATGGACCACAGTACATTAATACAGCAGACCGCAATTTATTTGAAACTTAAATCCGTCATGGCATAGTGTGTATCATAGAAAGCTTAACACAAACATAAGCTATCATACAACATCAGCAGAGATTTTATGTGATGCTCAGTGTCTCTTGAGTACTGGAAAGTCAGCAGTGCAGTATTACTACTGCATGTATATCATGATACAGTTTCAGCAGTGAGGTTAGTCTGTCTGCCAAAGACTAACAGGTCTCGAAACAAACTGCTAGATCCCTTGGTTTCTTATTAAGCTGTGGTTGTGTTACTGTAGAAAATTGCCTCAAACATCGCTTGGAGCACACGAAGACCGTGTTCTATTAAATAAAAGCA